AAAATTAGTTACAAAACATTACGCAAACATGTTCTAATAAAGCTTTAATTTGTTTGCACACAAAATGCAATTTAATTTATTATCGCGAATAAATGTTCGTTCGTACGCGCATCCCGTGGCAAAAACGAAAGAGAGAGAGAGAGAGAGAAGGATCGCATTGCGGAATTGAATGGATTGTGAGGGGAAAAGAGGGACGCGCCGTGGGAAATGAGGGTAGCCCAGAGGGAAGGCGGGGATAGTAGCGACCCCCGATGGGGTATTCAAGTAATGACGACAATAACGACGGCGACTATAATCAACGCCCATGTCGGACGCGTTTCGTCGCAGTGGCGGCCGATGACGAACGATGCCGAGCGTCCATTAAATTGATACCACCTGCTAATTGGTACCTCCAATTTCTATCGCCCGGTATACCGGACTATCGTGCGATAAAATAATCGCGTGGTGGTACGGCAGCATCATCACCACCACGGTGTTGTTGGCCGTGCGAAATGATTCGCGCGCGCGCGCGCGTGCGAACGCTGTGAACTGTCTGACAATTTCGCGAGTACGTCACAGCGGTGATCAATGTGGCAACACCATTGCAGTTTTGGTCGGATGGATTTTGCTAATGTTCTAGCATGACGCGCTTCTCGTTGCATTTGCGCGCGCGGTTGATACGTCGAGATATACGAGATATGAGAAACGATTATAGCCTACAATGTATAATGTATCAATGTTATACCGGGGTATTAACGTTGCTCGCGAAAACTTTTAGCGCGAGCGTTAAACAATTGCGACGCGTTCGTTGATTATTCGCGATTTTGCAACCAAAATAACCGTCTCTTTTCGTCTGTCTTGTTGTTGCACATTTTTTTTTTTTTTTTTTTTTTGTATTTCTCGCGCAAGAGAAAGAAATGAATAGCAACCCCAAATAATAATAATAATAAAAATAATACGTATTTTGTTCAATTATATTTTTTTTTTTTTTTTTTTGTCTTTGTACGTTCAAAGAGAGTAAACTTTGTTTTACGGTGGGAATTAACCTCAAAGAGCGATAAAATTTGTCGTCGCGCAAAAAGCTTCGACGTGCAAATTGATCGCGTCAGAATCGTCACACCGACGCGGCTGTCTCTTAAATATTTATTTTTCTCTCTTTCTCCCTTTTCGTTGTTTTTTCGCGACTCGCGTCAGTCGATATTGTCACGCGTCTGTTAGTTCGCGCTCGAGACAGAGAACCGCGCGCGGATACAAGCTGCTTCTCGGCCAAATTGATCGACACGTCTGACTGCGTCCCTAGATCCCGCGAAAACTCAAAAATAAAATAAAATAAAATAAAAAAAGAAGAAGAAAACGGGAAAAACCCGATAGCTGTGACACAGCACGTCGACCAACTTGTGCAAAAGTGCGACTACTCGTATATTGAGACTCCCCGTAAATAGAATTTATCTCCAGTTTCGCGCGCGAAAGATAGAGAAGGAGGAGACACTCGCATCTCTCTTCGTATCGACATTGAAGAGTCGTCGCGCGGGAAACACCTCTTACACACACCGCCAGATTACAGCGAATGGATATTGAAAAAAACTTGCGCTCGCGTATCGAACAAGTTTTCTACTTTTTTTTTTTCCCCCGCGGTAAAAGACGTCAGCGATTACGCCGAGGGCAAAAAAAATTGAAAATATCGAAAAAATCGCAATCGCAATCGTTCTTTATTTACCAGTTGTTCTTTATTCACCAGTTTGTTGTTGACAAAACTGTTATGAATGTCGCGGAATGTCGTCCCGCGGAACGACGAGAAGACGCGTCCAGAGAGAAAGATTTTCCGCGAAGCGCGGTCGGGGAGAGATTGCCGGGGAAAGGCAATTGTTCGCTTTAAGCACGCGTCCCATTTTGCAACGTAACCTCTTCGCCCGATTTCACTCACATACTCGACAGTTACATTACGCGTGTGTATAAATCCCTTCGGAGTTCGTCCGCCGGGTTTCTGAATTAAAGGGAAATGGAGATAGCGCCGCTTGAAACCTCCTATCCTACCTACCGCGGCGCGTGCGGTCTCACACATGTACACAACCGTACACAAAGAGGCGCGTTTCCAGAGCGCTTTCGAGTTGACCTAAGCAGAAAATGGCAAATCTTCGTAGCGGCGACGAAAAGCCAAAGGCACTGAAAGCTCGCTCGCGCGCTGGTTACCGCCCGGCAAATTGCGCACAGAGATGTTTTATGTACCACCTCTCGGCTCGTCGTAAGCTTGCACTCTCTTCTTCCGTTTCTCTCTCTCTCTCTCTCTTTCTCTCTTTTTTCTTTGAATATTCCTGTGGGATGCGAGAAGAGGCGAGCAAAAAAAAAAAAAAAAAAAAACTCGAAGAAGAGGAATGCGGTTTGTTCGACTATTCACCATTACCATTCACCGCGTTTCGTGCGCCAGAGAACCCGTTGATTTCTAAGACCAAATAAATGCTTTTTTCTGTCGCTTCGTGATTTAGTTTAACGTATAAAAAATTATTTACATGTGTTTTTATATACTTATTATTAATTAGTGTAATTACTTCGTTATTGTAAAACTATATTACGGTATTTGTTCTTTATCGTCGTTACAGGAAGACACGATAAAACGTTACGTCGAACACGTAACGTGTTCTCTCTCTTTCTCTCTCTCTCTCTCTCTCTCTCTCTCGTATAATCTCGGTTGCAAGTCGAGACTTCGGAACTATAAGATTTTCATAGCTAAGTTACGGGAACGCTCCTGACCTCTTTCGAGGGGCAAAGCGTAGGAGCTGGAAGGGATATTTAATTTTCCCTGGCGGAAAGCACCCTCTGTAGATGTAAAAGGCGCGAAACGATAACCGCACAGGTGAAGGGAAAAGGGAGGAGAGATATGGGCGATAAAAGAGATGTAAAGAGGGAGCGCATTCCTAATTTATACCTAAAAGCCCATACCTATTTCCGTCCTTTTTCGGGTTTCTCTGAAATCTCTGGAAAAATCACAGTCGGTTTTTCGCAACTGCCGCGCGCATCAATTTACGACGGTTCTTTGAACAAATTTTGAAAAACGTCCGAATCCGCAATACATCTCAGGGCGCGCTTAAAGCAGACGCGTTATTACCGGCACGTATCTTTTTGATGTTTCTTTCAAAATTATCCGTTTTCAATGGTATTGTTAGGCGGCGTGAGACGAGAGGAGGACGAGTTGCCATACAAAACGCGTTGGATAGAAGATCGACCCTTATCAGTCGCTTAATAATATCGAGGAACTTCGTCTATCCAGCGTCTCCCTTTCTTGCGGAAGGATCACGTCACTCTAGATCTGAGGTTTCCAGAAGGATGCGGCGGGGAATAATTAATGAGGGCCTCCTCTTCCTGGGGAGAACATACGTTTAACGATCCCCCCCGTCGTTGGGGTTGGAAGTGCCGGTTCCGATAGCGAGTCGGAAGGGACGCGCCTTGTGCTGCTCGGAGACACGTACTTCTATAATTGTTGGGGTGGCTCTGTCTCTCTTTCTCTCTCTCTCTCTTTCTCTCTCTATCTCTCTCGGAGACAACCTTTAACGGCCATCCCCGTGGGCGCGGGGAGACTTAATGCGTTTTTCCAATTCGATCGTTATACGTGCGCCATCGATATCGACGCCGTATCGGCTCGAAGTATCCGAGGGATTCGAGCGATTCGTAGGAATGGCTCGTCGCGAGATCGCAAGATTTCTCTTCCCCCCCCCTTTCCTCCCCATCCGAGTTGGAGAGAAATTCTTGTTTTGCGTTAAATTTATACGGGTCGTCTCTTTAAAGCGATATCGCGCGATTTGTGTGCGATTAAAGGAGAGGATGAGGATTGAAATTTTTTTTGTACGCTCCGCGACCTCGGTGCGATATGTTTTCATTCGAAATATCGCGAGAAGAGATATCGAAAAACAAGGACAATTGAGATAAACAAAAAGCTTAAAACAAATCAGAGTCGGGATAAATTCGTGACTCGAAAAAAAAAATAGTCCGCGCTATTTGCAACGCGCGCTAGTTACAAATCTATACAAGAGAGAGAGAGAGAGGAAATCCCGGAATTTCAGCGGAAGTTGCGCGAAATCCCTTTATCGCGCTTAATAAATGATGTAAACTATGTAATGTCCACGGCGGCGTGTTTGTACCAAGCTGTGACTAATTTCGGATTATACTAAAATTTTGATGTAACAACGTGGTAATTCACTTTATCGCCACGCAGCGCGACGTGCTTGATCGACCAACAATCGACAACGACATCGATAGAACGGAATATTTATATGCGACGCGAAGTGACAATATTTAACGTTTACGCGGACAAAACGGCGCTTAACACGTTATGCGCGTTTGCGCGGGAAGCATTGGTAACAATGCTTATATTTCGAAACGATCATCGGGGCAAATTACGCGCGCGCGCGCATGTACCTACCTACCTGGCGACCGCACGCGAATTCGGATCGGCAAAATATTCCCCGACAAACAATAGAACGGGGATAAAATCAAGCACCGCTTTTTGAAGGGAATCATGTAACAAGTGCGGAGAGAAAGAGAGGAGGTAGACGGACGACATAATTGATCAAATAAATGGATGCCTCGGTTTAAAAACCGAGAGTCAATTAATCGCCCAACCGACTAATTGCTGTCATTCGATGAATTCGAGTTCCGACCGGGAACCAATCGGTCTCTTGTTGCGTTAAATTCCGTGTCGATTTCGCGAAACCGTACGCGTTTCAAAAGTGCGAGATGACACAATAGTTTTGTTTGCGACTGAAAAGTAATAACGTAGGTTATTACACGAGACCATATTTTTTTTGTGAAAAACAAACAACATGTGTCGATGTAAATTTCTATATAATTTTCCAACGATAAACCCCAAACTGAGAAGACAAGTGTGTGTGTGCGTGCGTGTGTGTGTGTGTATGTGTGTTAAATCGAGAGAATTGCACATGCGCGCGTGTGTGTGTCAATTATTCGGTAAATCGATCGTCGAGATTTAGGGCGGATAGAGCCTAATCGAGCATTCACTTTGCTTCCAGGTCTCCTGGATACGTAAGAGGGATTTGCATATCCTGACGTCATCGTCCCACGTTTACACGGGAGACGCAAGATTTTCCGTCAAACATCCCGACGCAACTGACGAATGGACGCTGAAGATCGATTACGTTCAGCCGCGGGACGCGGGGGTTTACGAATGCCAGGTTAACACCGAGCCCAAAATGAACCTAGCCTTCATGTTAAAAGTCGAAGGTAAAAGTCGAGAATCGCCAAATCTCTAGATGTCTACCACGCCCTATAGCCCTTTCACGAATCGCTTAATTGAGAACAAAAATGAGACTCCAAATATACGCTGCGTGTATTTAAAAAAAAAAAAAAACTGTTAATTTAGAAGCAGAGACTGTAATTTAATATTTTTTTGTAAATTTTTTACTCTTGTTAGATAATTTGAAGAAAAAAATTAT